TTTCCTAAGTTGGCTTCTTGTTCCTATGCTTCATTTTCCCCCCTACTAACCTCAACATTTATAGTATCTCTGGAATGATCAGAGGATACTGTTTTGCAACTTTAAAAACCATCCAGATTTTTCTTTCCTACTCTGAATGCTCCCCAAAGTAGCTGGTCCCATGGCAGGAATGTGAGCACTTTGAGAAATGCACACCACTTAACAGTCCTGATTCTACTGATAGCAGAGTGCCTGCTTGAGTGCAGAAGCTTCTAAAGTCACTAGAGTAACATTTAATGCACCAGAAGAGTTACCTGGGTAATTTACACCTCTTTATCAAAGTAAGATGTTCCTGATGATGCTTATTAGCATGTAATGAAGATGCACTCTATGTCATTCTGTAAAATTTGACTCAACTGGGTAAAAAAAAATCAGTGTGAGTTATAAAACTAGAGGTGGAGTAAGCTTTAAAAGACATATTGATATACTTCAAATATGTGCAACACTATGACCTAATTGCTAGCAATGTATTTCTAAAGAAGAGTGCTGTTTTACTTATTTTGTAAAATTGATTTTAGTTAGTGATATCATTTACTTTATATGTGCCTTACAATTATTTATGGTGTTCTTACTTCGTATCTGTCACCTTAAAAGCCTACTTCCTTCATAGTTCTTAGAATTCAGTTTAAGAAACCAAGCCAGATGATTAAAAAGTAATTAATACAAGAAATTCTCTAAAGAAAATGAATTCTCTTAAATAGGTTAAACAGTGTCTGAATTCTCAGTTATGCTACATGTTTGTTCAGAAAATTACTTCTTTGAGACGAATAAATGCTAGAGTTCAGCCCAACTTCAGCCGAATGATGGAAGTTAGCAGCACCCTTCTTTAGGCTATCCCTAGCATTTTCTTCAAATATCAATTATAATTGTGTTGTAATCTATAACATATCATGTTAGTTTTGTCCTGTGATCTCCTTAAGGCTTTCTAAAGTACCCTCATATGCAGGGCTAAGTACAATAACTGGCATAGGAGGTCTTTAGTAAAGAATTAAAAATGACAAAGCTTACGTTCTAAATGTTTTATTTGCCCCCTTTCCTTCTTATTTTGTATACAAATGGCACATTAAAATCCAAATTAGGAAGTCTAGAATTGGTGGGAATTTGATCAAATCACCTAAGCTCTGTTTCCCTATCCTCATTTGCTATTTGCAGTTCCACAATTCTGTAAACCATTCCAGTAATTTCAACTTGGCAGACAGTTATTTTTTACCTTCTCTAAGTAATAACTTATTTATTTGCTCAATTTACATGCAGAGTCTAGCTAGTGCTTCTCACATGACGGTGATCCTGACATTAAGAGCACCTTCCTTCCTTTATCATTTTTCAGAAGGACAAAGAAAGAATATCTCTAAATGTCTTTGCCTGCATGATTTTTTTTTTAAATAACATCCTAGAATACCTCATGGGAACAGACACAATTGGCCAGGACTACAACGTCTGCATGCTCTCAAACATTTTAAATCTACCTTGTCTGCTTAATAGGAGAGTCTCAAGGACACAGATATAGTCTAAGCACATTCCTGGGCCTTTATAACTTCAAATTTCAAAGAATTCCCATTATGAGGACCTTATAACAATTTATTGCTTCCTTTGTTTGGGTTTTTTCCATATGTAAGCTTCCATGTAGATTCAAATTAAAAAGCCTTTAGATTTCTAAGAATCACTTCCATCTCTGATACTTATAGAGTATAATGAGAAAATCTAAGGGTTTTTGGTGAGCAATGAGGGGGCTGGCTGACCACATAAGTTTTCATGACATACAGTATGATGACAAAAAAAAATTCAGTGCAGATTAAAGATCATACATAAAATTCACTGAGACAAGCTTGCTCGTATTACCATATGTTGATATGTATGACTATACTATATATAAACACTATGATATTAGGAAAAATATAGACCAAGGAAATCTGACACAAATAGAAATAATATTTTCCTAAACTCAACTTACTTTTATCATTGAGAACATGTAAACAATGGACTCAAGATCTGAATTAAATGAACTAAATCCTTGATTTCCTCTATTAAAGGTAAGAAATCTTAGAAAATCTGAAACTCGCTTTGTCTGTGTAGAAATTCATTTTGGCTGACTTTCTGATTACAGTTATGGTAGACTAATAGTTTTCCCCTTTTCCTAGCTTTTTCAAGGAGGAAAGAGCATAGTATTAATTTGCATACACACAGAGAACAATAGAGAGCACATTTTTGCACAATGAAACATGTTTTTATACCTTTTTGTAATGGGGTTCCACTGTGATTATTTCATTGAATCTAGTAGTGAATATTTTTTGGTACATAGCTAACTAAACCTCTTGAATAAGAAGTCCAACTTCAACTCTCTTAGAAATATCTAAGGTTTCTAGGTCTAGAGCTTTTATAGTTAATGTTGAATTTCTTAGCTCAGTTGTTACTGTTTTCAAGGTTGTTATCGGAAGCTCTTTCTGCCTCATAGTTCCTAGAGTTAATCATTCATTCATGCAATCTTTCATTGCATTCAATCCCTACGAGGCATTGCATTTTCTCAAAGCACTTGAGAAAATATATAGCATTGAACCGTGACACTGCTTATTTTAATGTTGACCAACAGTTAAGAAATGTAAGCTTTCAGTTCATCAATTAGCTGTCTGGTAAAGTCAATTAGAGCCAAGTCAATGAGTTCATTTTAAACATGTGTTCAGCAGCAAGTCCCCAGGATTATGCCAAATCTAGGGGTTCTGACAAATCTAGGGGTAGACGTGGCCTATATTGTTGTCACTCTGCTCAAGGTTGTTTCCCTACTTTGCAGAAGCTACCAGGAACATGGAGCATCTGAGAAAGGATCCAGAGCTTCCATACCCTGGGAAAACTTGAAACCTATGTTATCTCATAGACTAAAACCCCTTAGACTGCAACCCTGCAACCTCTAATACTCTAGAACAAATGAAGCCAAAAGTCGTACATTCCCTTTGTCAAAAACTATAATAAAGTGGGGTAGATTTTAACACTGAAGGACAAGGACATTGACACATTCTTGATTATTCATAGACAATGTATAAAATTTATATGACATAAAGTTCAGGAAGCACTTTCAAACTTGTGAGCAAAATTCATTTTCCATTATAGTGCATCAAAGACAGTTTTATTTAATTCCAATCAAGTGCATACATAAAATTCTTCTCTGAAATGTCTCCTTTGAGAAAAGCAGGCAGCTTGGGCTAAATTCTTTTCTCAAGAGATCACTTCGGAAGGACCAACACCCGCAATCTCCCACCAAAAAGACAATGGGATCCAGAGCAGGGCCTGTACACCTTCACTGTAAAAGCGCAGAGGATAATGAATTTAGGTTTGCGGGCAGTATGATCTGTGTCACAATATCTCAGCTCTGCCTTTGTAGAGTGAAGGCAGCCAGAGACCAAAGGTTAGTAAACCATCATGTCTGTTTTCAGTAAAACTTTATTTATAAAAACATAGGCAGCCGACCAGAGCTGGCTCATAGGCCATAGATTGCCAGGTCCAAGTAAGTCTGTATTCTGAGTAGGGGTAGCAATTCTTACAGTTACTTAGGCTCTCACTTCTATTCTATGCCCTATTATACATTGAAACATGTTGAAATGTTTAATGATTCAAATGCTATTTATTTCTACATTGATAAACTTTTGATTGTTTTTCTGTGTTGTAGATCATTGTTTCTTGCCCTATAGTATACAGAGTGCAAGTTATATTTTTCTTAATGTTTTTGCTAGAGATATTCTTAGTTGTACTTGAACTGTCCGGGGGCACATAGCCTACATCAGATGGCCTCAGTCTTCAGTGATTTTCCAGTTGATATAGTCATTACTACCACCTTTTACATCAGCTATCAATATCAATGTGTCTCTTAAGTAATCCCTTTTCTTATGTCCATACTTCCTCCTATCATAGTCTCACGCATGAAATCTGTTCTCTACTCAAGAACTGGATTTTGTTTGAAGACCCGGATAACCTAGTTTCTAGAATCACATAAGTCACCACAAACCCATTATTAAGCCCTTGGCCTGTTGGCAGAGGGCTGTATTCCTCCTCTGGGAGGATAAACTTTACAAAGGCCATTTTCCACAATACTTAAAAGCTTGCTTGCTTGTTCTTTATGTTTTGGCTAGGTTCCAAAACAGTAAGGTTACTAAAGTTTGATTAACGGGTAAATGAGGAGTTTTCCTAGAGTACTAATAACCCTAATAACCTCTTTATTTTCCAACTTCTTTACTTTAAAAAACAGATTTTTTTCCACTGATTTTGCTTCTTAAAATTTACTCCATACCCTGCTTATTTCTTACTATCTTTGTCTAGAACAGTTTTGAACAATGAATCTCAACCAGGGACTCCAGGAAAATTATCTAGAAGATCATTTGAAAAATACTAAATCTTAAGTCCCTCCTGATAGAGTTTTCTAGTCATTTGGTTAGGGATAGACAACCAAAAGGCTAGAAATTTATGCCTCTGAGGTATTAATCATTTTTGGTTCTGTTTCATTTTAATATTCCCAGGAGATTCTCATTAATAAAGGCCCAAGAACCACTGGTTTTCTTTCTTTTTTTATATTTTTAAATTTACTTTTATTGTATTTATAAGGGCACAAATGGTAATGGTTTTCTACACCCAATTTCTTTTAGGAGTCCACAGAAAGGATTAAATATGGAGTGGTTTACACTGATACTCCTCTTGCTATTTTACGGTATAGAAACTTAACATAATGAATGTGAGTTATCCAAGAACTTCATTTTGTCTTCTTGAAAACAAAAAATGCCTTGCAAGTTGAAGTCCAAGTGGCTGCATTTATATATATGTACTTGGATTATCTCAGCACATGGACCATAAAGTAAGGCTTGAGCTGTCGGTGTTGAGACCCTTTATCCTCCTTTCTTGGGTTGACTCTTGTGTCTTGAATGATTATTTTTGATAACTCTGCAGCCACGTGAATGTTATTGTCTTTCTCTCATTCATAGCACCAGAAGAATGGGCCACGACCCGCTCCAGCCTGAAGGCACCACCGCCAAGGTCAGCCAGAGGGGGATACAGGGAGCACCCCTATGGTAGATATTGAAGGTCCTCCTCACCCGTGACCTCTCCTCAAAGACAGTTCATAGCCTGTGGTCTCCACAAAAACAGCAACAAGACAAGTAATAGTCCTTTTTTTTTCCTATTCTAGGGATAACTTCTCATGATTATTCCCATATAGTTCTTGTATTTCCCCTATACTGTTGGCGTGACATTGACACTAGTATTTTACAAAACGGACTAAAAGAGACACTGGCAAGCATTGTCTATAAACCATTCAGTAGGATGATATTCTCTTGGTTGTTTTTCATTGTTGTGTGTAATCTTTTTTTTTCTTTTTCCTTTTTTCTTTTTTTAAGAAAAAGCATGAATCTGTTAACAGATTTTTGAGTCTCAATCAACTAGCAAAAACATTGTTTAGGGTTGCTAAAAGACTGTAATATGATTTTTGAACTAGCTGATAATAAAGTTGTAGATAAGATGTTTTAACTTGTCTTTTAATATCTGTTAGTTAGATGAAGATGTTTGATATTAAGTTTGTAAATTTAATTTTAAATGCTGTTTTAATGGGGTTGAAAACAAGCAGCTACTGTATGTATGTAGCTAACTGAATTTGTTCAGTGTTTTAACCTGTATTTGTTAAAAAAGAAAAAAAACCACACATAAAGTTCCATGTGTAAGCTTCTCTAAATAGGAAACCACAATTTGTCAAATATGTTTGCCATAATTTGTCAATAAAGCTGAAAACTTTTGTAAAAACTAAATTTGGAATTACTTGTTTTCTAGCTTTAAATGTCTGCTTTATTTCTTCTTCAAGAGATGCCTAAAATGTTTTCTATTTAAAAATTACAAAAATGAACCCAAGCTTGTTTTAAGATATTTGTGTAATACTTAAAAAATGTATTAATAACTTATGGTTGTTAAATAATTTAAAAGTTAACAAACTAAACTGTTACATGAATCATGGTTAGTAAACACTAATGTATAACATGTTAATGGAAAAAAAACTGGATTTAGAATAATAAATGGATTTTAAACTATCCTCTAAGCTTTATCTTGCTAAACACAAATTCTGATTGACTTGTTTGCATTAGCATGTCTCTCGTGAGAAAGAGTAATGGAGTATAAAGAGGTAAGATTACCACTTACCACTGTCTAAATGCCTAGTTCTTCAACCTTTGAGTTTCCCCGCACATTAAATATCCCATCCAACATGTAAGCATTGCGTAGATTCACTTTATTGTTTTCACTCAAAGGAGTGCGTGGACTTCATTTGCGTAGTTGATAACAATTTGTTTTGACAAACAAATCATCAGTGTCACTGGCCAGTTGTTGCTATTCAACCTCAAAAACTTTATTTGTAATTTTCAGTGCTAAATATCACCGCCCTTGAAGGCAGTTTAAAGGGCTGATATTTCTTTTGAGACTATCAGACTTGATGGCTGATGATTATTAAGGAAATATGTCGCAGGACTCAAAGGATGACTAAACGTTAAACAGGTAACACTAATAGTAACTCTGTAATTTTGCATATGCAACAGTAATGTTAAATATTCTCAGTTATTAAGTTCCTGATAGTTAAAAAAGTAAACCTACAAAAACATAACAAATAGGTCTATAGGTTATTAAAACAACTAATTAACATTAACTAGAGGCACCAAAATTATTTTACAATATATAACCCTCAAGTTAATAAACAGAACTAAAATTAACAATAATAGTAATGCAACTCTTGCTAACATCAAACGTAAGCTAAATTTGATGGAAAAAAAGAAAGAAAGTGAAAGACTTGATGGTAGGGATGAATGCCAAAACTGTTAATCTTTTAAATACAGTTTTTTTGTTTATGGTGGCTTTTGTCGATGTGATTGGTTTACTTTTTTGCTGCTAACCAGCTTAGGCATATTGCTGTTCAGTTTTTGCAGCTGGAGTTGCATGCTGATAGTTTTATGAAGTGTGTGTCTGTCATCAATTAAAATCGTAAATATTTGCCTTTTGCAAAATGTTATTTAGTTATATTTAATTTTCTTTTTTTATTCTTTCTCACTATTTCAGGTACCCACAAGCAAAGAGCACGTAATTGAATAGCAGAAAGTGATGGACTAAGAAGGACAGAGGTAAACTTATTTTTTTAATCCTCTCTGAAATAGAGAATCTTACCCACATGAAGCCTTGGCACTGGCCTACAACACCAAATGCCTCTTGTGGGAAACTGAAGAGATTTAGATTGTTGTCAAGGAACTGAGCTATTTTTATCTTCTTTGAAATAAAGGGATATAACTTGGTATTTACCTGGCAAGAATTTTGAGCTTATCCAGAGAAGGATAATTCAAATGAAACATGAATTAGTAGTTAATATTCATCCCTTTTCTTGCCTGTGAACTACAACATATCACCTCCCCTTAACTTTACAAATAAAGAATACAAAAAGCTTTACTCTGCAGATTTGAGAAGGAAATCACAATTATTGACTGAGGTGGACAGACAGGAGGGGGCCCGGTAACCAACTCCTCAGCTACCCCTTGTCAATGAGATAAAATTTTGTAACATTAACACTTATTTCATCAAATAAAATAACTAAGCTTACCATTATTTTCCCCATTGATCCCACTGGATTTATCAATAAACTTGTTTTCCACCTACCATTCTATTTGATTCAGCAAATATTTACTGAATACAAAGCACTGTTGGAAACCGAGACTTGATTTCTGTAGACAAGGAGTTGGCAACTTAGCCAATAAAACTCCAACTGAAAACAATGCAAGGGCAGTTACGAGATCCATAGACTGACCGTTCAAAGTCCTAAACAGACCTTGCCATGATATTTGAAACAAGGTAAACCCCAAGCTTCCCCTTCTGGGTCTGTTCCTCTTTTTACTACACAAATACCCAAATGTGCACAATGCAGTGGAGCCTTAAATGCCACAGAAGAGATGTGAGAGAGCCTGGGGATTCGTCTTGACTGGAGGTAGGACAGAGTCAGGGCGTGGAATTAAAGGGGTAGCCAGTTCACTGATGAGGAAGAGGGCGCCACCTGGTGAAGGGGATAGGTTGTGCCAGTTCAGGAAGCGAGAAGGATCCCGAGGACCAGATTCACAAAAACAGAGAGAAAAGCAAAGCCTAGAGAGGCGGGGTCCCGTTCCATCATGGTTGTCCCTGGCTACTGTGTTAAATTGTTTGGATTTCATTGGAAAAATAAAAGGAAGCTTGTGTAGGTTTGAAGTAAAGAATCAGAGCTATCCCCCTAAGAAAATTACCCCAAGTAACTAAGGCAAACGTTACATTTAGTCAATTTTATTATTACTAATGCCTCTTCATCTGAGATAGTTTTTCTAAAACTCAAATTATTAAAATAACTTTAATATAGTATGTGCTTTAATTAATCAAATGCCTTTGTTAAGTTGCAGAATGAAAAAGTTACAGAAAATGCAGTTTTGAAATTTTATTTATCAGTAACATGCCATATCTGACTTAATTCTTTAAAAAAGTTACTGTTTTTATAAACTAAGAGGACAAAGAATCTCTAATCCAGATATCCTGTGTATTATCCCCCTTCATCCTGTTCAAATGGACTTGCTTTCGTAAAGCAACAAAAGAGAAACCAGGGTTTGTTATTAGTTAATCAATAGGTTTTTGTGTTCATTTAATTATTTTATCATCACAGTTGTTGCATTCCAGTACTCCAGCTCTCTCACCATTCAGACTCAGGGCAGGGCTATCACAGTGGAAACACCAGGGCCAAACAAGAGAAGAGAACATTCTTGGCTGTTGAGCTAAAAGTAAGAGTTTTTAAAGCTCAAAAACAGTGATTTGTGACAAAGAGGATTTTGAGTTTCAAAAACATGCATTTTTAGTAGGCTTTAAGTAGGATGTAAAGCGTATGAGTTAACTGTAGATGTAGAAGACTCCCATCCATAGATGATAGATAGATAGATGATAGATAGGTGATAGATAGATAGATGATAGATAGATGATTGATAGATAGATAGATAGATAGATAGATAGATAGATAGATAGATAGATAACTGACTCCGAACCCACCTGCCTGTATACATCTACAAGATAAATATTGTCCAGGCTGAGAAGTGAACTTAAGAGGCAACAATAACTAGGGTCTTAGTATAAAATATTAGTGTCTACTGAAGTGTGAGTTCTGTACACTATATCCATTATCCAATAAAAATCTGAGATAGTTTTGAAACACAAAGGAGTCTTTTGTCTAAAGAGGAGGCTGGGGAGGCAGCAAGGCTCACAGAATGGCCTCACGTCAGTGTGTTCCAGGTGCAACCCTGTAGACGAGTGTTTCCATAGATGCTCTGTGAGCTGGCAAGAGTGAATGAAGCAGGTGTGGCAGAGGGAGCTGCGCACACCATCACCCGCGCAGGAAGGCAGGGCAGGGCGCAGAAGTCTCGGGCATGGACCAGCCTGGACCCAGGTGGACCAGTGGGTACAGCGTGAGAAGGTAAGAAGATGAGCGACTCCCTGCCACCAGCACCTCCCAAACTTTAATGCAACTGGGAAAAAAAGGGGGAAACATAAATCTCTGAGTTAGCAGAGGAACTCCTGACCAAAATTAATCTGAATGGCTGAGGTGATTTTTCTCCTCCTAGCCATATGGGAACTTGAGAATGAAATCAAATTGAAGTGTAGGAAAGTATAATTATATATGCATTGCAGTCATTTATTGCATAACTTGTCTAACTCTTTAAAAAATCAGAAGTGAATGCAGTCAGTTTCTCTGGCAACAGGGAATGAGAATTTTCCAAAGTTGGTGGCCTCTCATCATCAAATGAAAACTGTTCAGAGTGGCCCTAACTAAAGAACATCTGCCCAGTCAGAGGACGCCTTCTCTCAGTCAGCATCAGTGATGTGGGGTCCCACTATCTTGGTGACATCACATCTGTTCCCGCTAACTGTGAAGTTCTGGCTCCCAAAGATGGCAGAGCAGGTACCTTCCCAGCTCTAGAGCCATTGTCCGAACTAACATTCTTATGTCTGATATTCGCCTTGAGCAAGTCATACAACCTTGCATGGCAAATTAAAGTT